ATTCTAAAAAACTTTAATAATCATATCAATGTTAGTTTTAGAAAAACTACTTGGAAGTATTCTTAACCAAAACATGGGATATTTGTAGTTTTTGTAGCATCATACTTCCGTTTAAATCACATAATGGCAGCCAAATTTCAATTTTAAGTACAAATGAAAACTAAGAATAAAGAACTACAAAAGTTAAATAGATTGGGAAAGTAATACGTTCTCATCAGATGTAATGCTGTTGTAAAAGAGCTCATCCAAAGTTCAAAGAATTCTTCTAAAAAAATCATTCATTAAAATAATTTACAACCGATTCCAATTGAAATAAAAGATCCAAACTTTGAAACTTCACAATTAGTTCATGTTGCTGATATTTAGTAATCATATACACATAACATAGGCCATAAAACACGAGATCAATGACTTACTTGGAAGTGGTCTGGAAGAAAAAACAGGGGATGCTGCGATTTGTAGTTTTTAAAGATCTAATCAAACCCAATTCGTTATGAGTTGTGATTTCTAAGAACTCGCTGAATTGAATTCCAATTTGAATAAACTCGTTAATGGTGAAATTCGAAATTACTAGACTGTTTGTTTTTTTTTTTTTTTTTTTTTTTTTTTTTTTTTTTTTTTTTTTTTTTTTTTTTTTTGAAATCGGTTTCTGTGAAGTCGGTTTTTCTTTGAATGGAGATTTCTTTTTTTTTTTTGAAATCGTTTTTTTGCAATCGATTTCTTTGAATTCGGAAACTCTTTTTTTTTTTTTTGTGATAAGCAGCCGATTATTGGATTGATCAAGGAAGACGTGATTTGCAGCCGATCATCAAGCGTATCATGGAAGACGTGTTTTGATGTTATCACTTATCAGTAGTTGTGTTTAATTAGGAACATAGCAAATAATTTATGGAAATTGTATTTTTTTATTCTTTTGAGAAATTTAATCCAATAATCGAAACTATGTAGTTTTGATATATTCATTATAATCTTCTTAAACTTCAACCACTAACTGAATTTACTTTCAGTATTTCCAAAATTTCACTACTATCTTCCTCTTACATCACATATTTTTGTCGAACACTACTAGGCTATATATATTATAGTTGAAAATGAAAATTATGTAAGAGGACTATAAATGTTAAATTTATAAAAATCTTCGAAGTGAATCAAGTTAGAAGATGAATTATAAGAACATTGGATAATTACAATATATATATATATATATATATATATATATATATATATAATATATATATATATATATATATATATATATATATGATCAAAACGACGTAGTATAGTAAGTTTGGGTACCTAAGCTTATATACCCTTAAGGGTATATTCACTTTTCCCATATATATATATATATATTATATATATATATATATATATATATATATAATTATATATATATATATATATATATATATACCTTTTTGTAATCCTTAATTCTAATTAGTTGTTATTATAAATTAGTTTGTTTTATTATTTATTTATAACTAAATTATCAAACTTATACCAAAAAAAGGGGCAAAAATTCTAGCCTGAGATGAGGATCTTACAATAATCTAACCCTTGTTTCCAGGATTTTTCACAAATACACAAATACAACCCTTGTTTCCGTCATTTCTTTGATTACAACAAGCAATTCGTAATATTCTACTAATCTGAAAATGAGTTCATCAAAGGTAATGTTCCAAATAAAGTTACCGTGTTACGTAAGGGTGTTTACATTATGCACATGTTGTCATGAGGCCTACTGAAGATTTTAACAACAGAAATATGAAAAAAATCGTATCCTAACCTTCTAATACAAAACATTCCACAGTTGTTATAAGAATTCCGTAACCGTTCTTTGCATTCCAGACAAAAAATATAGTAATTCCTTCTCAAAACTGTAGTAAGAAATCATACACTAACCTAGTATGTCGAATCCATAGACGAGGTCTGAAAATATTTTAGAAGTTTCCACAACGGCGTTCCGGTAGGAGATGGGTCCCATATACATAGGAGGAGACCAGACAAATAAGTTTTGACTCGATTCATTTAGATAACCTGACCAGAATTGGATCCGTATACCTTTAATTGTTGTATTTCATAACAAACTACGAAAATAAGTCGGTAATGACTTTATCTTAGTAAAAATGAATGAAAAGTTGATCCCGATATAAATGAAAATTCAATTTTAATTTTAGTTTATATAATCCTAAATTACATAAACAAAAATTGATGTAAAATAAATTTTGTTACAATGCACCGTCTAGTTGAAAGTGGGAAAGAGAAATATTATCTTTTGTTGTTGGTTGTGACTGATCCTCGATCTTTCTGATAAATTTCTAACATATCAAATTTTGGATAACGACAAGATCGTATAAATCTCAAACGTAAATCGTTCAAGTTGTATTCGGAAAAGTATATCTATCTGTTAGTAATGTTGTATTATTTAATTTTTCTTAAAGGATCTAATATTTATATCTAAGGAGATGATTTTTATTTATTTATTTATTTATTTATTTTTTTCTGTTTGTGTATCAACATATGTATTATAATTTATTAATTAATATATAGAGATATGATAAATTGAAGCCCGATTAGTCATGTCTAATCGTTAGACTCCGGTTATGTCCAATGACATGGGCACATGGCTATACATGTGACAAGGAATTGAACTTATTGAGTTGTGCAATAGTTGCTCACTTGCTTGTCAGATTATTTGATGAAGGCGCATTAAATAGACAATAGGGAGAACAATGTACTTTTATTTTTCAGTCTAGAATTATCAGAGTCAATATGAAATTAACTTTTTAGGAATATTGTACCAAGCATATGGTTTAATGTAAGGTTATCAATATCATGGTATCAAAATTTTAACTAAGACTATTTTACATTTTGTAAGATGGTGATTATAAGATTAGATCAAGATTGAAAAATCTTAACCAAAATGAGATCGTATTCAAGTTTGTTCGTAATGAAAAGTTATTAAGAATAATTAACTAGAAAAAAAAACAAGAACATTATGATTATGTACAAGTTAGACATAAAATTACAATATATATATATATATATATATATATATATATATATATATATATATATATATATATATATATATATATATATATATATATATATATATATATATATATATATATCTCATGAGTATGTATCTACGTGAGAAAGCGAGAATATTTTAAAAAAAGTTTGACATAAAGGGATTCACAAACGAAATTCCACTATTGATGGCCACATATTGGTGTAGAGAGTTGCACCAAAAACAAGTTGCTTTTTCTAAACGAGTTGACATAAAAGCTAGCTATATGCCTTTTGGATACTTTCAACCGTTTACTTGGTCTAGAAAAATATCACCGACTTTTGCAATGGCCTATTATCGGATGCCTATGGGACCATAATGTGTAATGCATACGAATATTGAACATAACATTACATATGGATTGATATTTTATTTGTGGTTCTTGATAAAACCGAATAATTTAGTGTTGATAATTCCGACATTGTAATGGTTAAATAGAATGTAAGGTTTCTTAACATGTTTTGTTTTAATTTTTACTTTATTTTGTTTATGTTTAGAGGTCGTTCAGTGACTGAATCACGTTGAATTCTGATAGATCATATGTTTTTTATTTTTTCAGAGATCGTTCAGAGACTGTATCAAATGCGCTGAATACAAACCGATTCAAAGTGACCATGAATCATAAGTTTCACTCATAGAGTTTATCAAATATGTATTTAACTTTGTTAAAAATAGAGAAATAGAAAATGCAAGCTTTTTTGAAGCTGACAACCGCCTAATAAAGGTTGAAGTCTACTATCATAAATGTTTTGGAAAATAAAAACCAAATAAAGAAGCATAGGTAGGTTGGAGATGAAAGTGGAATTTAATATGGACAGGCTGAAATTAGGCCATATCTATCCACCTTTCTCACTCAATGCTATCTAACTACCATCACTACTCTATTATATACATCAACACTTCAATACCATTTCTTTACTCTTTCACACATTAACTTCCCATCCACCATCACCACCACCACCACCACCACCACCCTTATCTCCTATCTTACTTCCACGACACTACCACCACCGTTTTCCGGCCATGGTGATCAAATCAAACACCATCATTATGGCCGTTGCCATGTTGGTGGGACTGATTTTCGCCGGGCTTCCATGTTTCAAAGCACAGTCACCAGTCGGAGCTCCGATGATGTTGCCTGGTGCACCAATGGCGATGGCACCAGGACCTGATTGCATGACCGCATTGTTTAACGTTTCAGATTGTTTGAGTTTTGTTCAAATTGGAAGTAATTTGACTAATCCCGACAAAGCATGTTGTCCGGAGGTTGCAGGGTTGCTAGAAAGCAACCCTATATGCTTGTGTCAACTGGTCGGTGGAAGTACTGCTAAAGATTATGGAGTAGATATCAATCGGGCTCTCTTGCTTCCTAATGCTTGTAAATTAGAAGTTCCTTCTATTAACGCATGTCCTTCAGGTTAATATTATCTCTCTACCATTTGTTTGCTTCTTTTTATGTAAAAAAAATTCAAAACGTTACTAATTAATTAGTTTATCGGTTTCGAAATCAATGTCGAAAACGTAAGTACTCTATTTTAGCAACTAGAGTTGACAACTGGAATGTTAGTCTTTCGTCTTTCCATACTCGAGTTGACTAATCTTATATCTAATTGGTCATATCACAAGATTTAGAAAAATGTGTTGAATCTTTTGATGATCTTCTAAATCGCTTTCTTTAAAAAGATTAGATTGCTACATTTAGTCATAGTTAAGCATAGTTAATACATTAATTATGTATTTACATGTATAAAAAGGACAAAAATTAAGGAGATAGGCCAAACTACATATATCATTGATTATTTAATTCATATCACTTTTTAATTCACAATACCAGTAACTTTCTTTCTCTTTCACATTAACTGATTCACCGAAATACATTAAAGTTGCTGGGTTATCTTGTCTACATGTACGGATACATTGAATAACTCCAAACTTCATAAATCATTTAAAAAAATAGGGTCTTATGGTTTTTTTTTGACACACTCATAAATCATGGGTTCAAATCTCTTAATGTACATTTTCTCTTTTTCTTTGATATTTCACAGCTTCTCCAGTAGCAGCTCCAACACCTAGCTCAGCAAGTGAAGCACCTAGATCAACAACAGGTAACTGGTTTCAAGGATAATTACTTCTAAATTTAGATAACACCATCATTATGATTTAGCTTTATAAACATTAAACAACATTATGTTTCCTTCTATAATACCACAGTCCACAAACTATATGAAAGCATATATATATCATTAATGATTATGAATTAAACAGCTAGTCCAGGGCCAGCTGGAGAAGAAGGGTTGAGCCCAACTGCATCTGGAAACGGTGGCAGCAATGGAGCTTCTAGCTCTGCAATTCACGATCTTTCGACACTAATTTGTTTAGCGGCTGCTATCTTCATAGCATACTACTTTTAATTTAATTCTTTTACTTTACGATATGCAACTCATTGTCCACATTTTTCATATTCTATTATATCATATGTATGTAAACATTAATTCACACATTTCGTGCTCGAATTTACTCAATAATATGTAGTGAGTTTTATATATTTTATTTGTAGCCTGTAAGGATTATTATGTCAGTCCAACTTCAACCGCAACATCAATAGAAAAAAAAAATCACTAACATGATGTTATAATACCACCAAAATGCAATTCTTATCCCAACTACATACCAAAAATCATATTTTTGTCAGAGATATTAATTAAAAAAAACGACCACTTGTTAACCGAGAAGTCAAAAAAAAAAAAAAAAAAAAAAAAAAAAAAAAAAAGAAGGTATTTTGGCAAAAATAATAAGCAATGCCCCGAGATCCATGTGGTATTAGGGATGAGCATAGGCGGGTACCCGCCTCATTTGGCGAGAACCGGAACCGGTGGTTCCTAGAAAGTTAGAACCGGATCCGGAACCGCTCTAGGCGGTTGTTAAATTTTAGGAACCAGTCCCGGAACCGGCGGTTCCCGTTCCGGGAGCGGGTAACCCGGTTATATTAACTTTGTTAACCTTTGTCGATAAAACCGCAACTTAGTTCGATCCAAATCGAATTAATTCGGACCAAAGAGAGACAAAATTAGACCAATATATTCTAAACCGGTTTAACTAACACACATATTTATATGAAATACTATTATATATATATATATATATATATATATATATATATATATATATATATATATATATATATATATATATATATATCGGTTTCGGCGGGTATCCAGCGGGTAGCGGTTTCGAAAAAATGAGAATTGGAACCAGAACCGCTTAAAGCAGTTCCAGTTCCAGAACCGGCAGTTCCGAGGCAGTTCCAGTTCCAAAAACGAGTACCCGGTTCCGATGCTCATCCCTATGTGGTATCCATATGTGTAGTTGGTTCCTTATTTAAAGGAAATCCTAATTATGATACCCACATTTCATGAAATAAATTAAATGATATTTATTGGCAAACAATTTTATTAATTAAGATTTTTTTTTTAAATACTGCGTTATGTTTTATTATGTTTTAATGACATATTTTATATGCTATTCTATAAATTAATAGATTCAGTGGGGGTTTATATTTATTCAAATATCATTAAAAATTATAGATTCTTTGTTATACAATTTATTATATACTAATAAATATTAAATATCAAGCAATGTTAAAATGCATTTATATTACATATTTACCTTATTTGACCTTTTTCAAGACCACTGTGTCACAAACAAGTTTCGAGAAGAATCCAGAACCCTTTAGAGAATGTTGGAGCAATCAAGAATACTTGGGAAACTGTTGAGAAATTATAAACACACTACAACTCCTTGGAAGACACTAGAGTATGATAGAAGTCCTTGGACCAAGATGGAGTGGCCTAGAACAATTTAGAGGACAATAGACGAGTACGTACTTCGAGAGACCTTGGCACGTCCAAGAATTCTCTAGAACATTATAAAGTATCAAGGAGCATTATGGAAGCATTGTATATAACTTATCTTAGTAAACAAATATAGAATAGTTGAGATACTATGGGATCTAGAATCTTCCAGTGAAAATGAGAAAGGACCATATAAATTGGTAGGATGTCTCATTTTTCTAATCTATCGAGAATTTCCGTGTAAATCTATCAGGATCTTTTAATAAAAGTAGTACTTTTTACATTGTACCAGGTGTAGTTATGCGTTTTTGTGGGGTTGTAGAAGTATGGAGTAGCAGATGGGTTATTGTGAAGTAAAAGGTGACCAACCGATGATGCTTCACCTCCTTGGAAAGGTTAGGGGTGGTCACATGCCTAGGATTCAAATTTCGAAGTATAAGGATTGAGATCCAGTATTGCAGTGTGTAGTTGTACTCGGTATTAAAAGATAGGAAATTTCGAAAGGACAAAAGTTCTCCTTCTACAACATGAGGATATGCGACAATTTAGCGGTGTGAGAGTGTCATGGGCCAATTATCTCGTAACCATGTTGACCGAGAAGACAAACTCCATTCCACTCGATTATCTTATAACTGGGTTAAAAGGGGGGCTCATAGAGGAAAGGCGATATTAGTCTTATAGAAGTTTGTAGAGAAAGATGACACGACCTAGAACAATCAAGAGGAAGATAAAGGATGCAAGAATAATCTGGAAGCCCTTGGAATATCCAAGAATTCTCTAGGACATTTCATACTAGTAAGGAACATTATTGGAACATTGTATATCAGTTTAGATATGAGTAGATAGATCTAGAATAATTGTGAACTATGGGATCTTGAAATAGATGGGTTTTAAGTCTATCAAAGATCAACCATTAGGTAGTGGAAACAACTAACAATTGTGATCTAAGACTCAAAACACAAGATCTAACTCAACTATCCATGCAACATATAAAACACAATAGAATAGAATGGTACATTTGATTTCTTTGTATGTTTCTTCTTTTTACAAACCAATTGAATGGACTAGAGAACCCAACATAGAGTTCATTTTCTGAAATCACACCCAAGAAACAAAAAACAAGCGGATCTAAGCAATCCTTGAAATCCAGGCTTCAAACAAGACCGAAATCTTGATTCGGTGGTCGACCACGACTTGGTAAACAATCTGCCACGACGTAGGAACTGTAATTCGGGATTTCTTAGGGTTTTTGACAACTCCAAGCTTTTGAGACTAAGAGATATTTCTCTCATACATTAAAATTGAATTTGAATTCCTCTATTTATAGGGAGGAGATTTGAAATCCAAGAGTTAATTACCAAACATAATTATAATTATCTATGAAATTCAATTCATTGTGGAATATTCCATATTCCTTAATTTACTATTAGTTAATTAAATTGATAATTAATTAACAAAATAAGTCCCCTCAACTAAAAATATTTTCAGATCTGCTTTATTTTGTTATTGCGTGTAACCCAAAATGACATTGTTATTTATAGTAATATTACTTGGATTATTATGACTATGTTGTAGCATCCCAAATCCAGATAATTTTTTTTGTATTTCTAACCATAAAATCCATACATCATACATCATTTGTTTTTATACCAAACATAATAAAAGTGTATCTCAAATATCGGAGTATAACAAAAGTCATCAATGCGAAAATTCATAAAGGAATATGATGTGCAGTGAAGCCAGACCCTTTTCTTTCGAACTAGAAGTACCTGAAAATGTTAAACCACAAAACCATAAGCACAAAGCTTAGTGAGTTACCCATAGTGCTACATATCATACATAACATCAGCCCCTGCCCATCGTAACAGGCTGCACCCATCATGCATACAGGCCCCGCCCAAGATACAAATGGGCCCAACCCAACATAAAAATAAGTCAATCCCATCATACGAATAGGCCTATCACAACATACTAATGGGTCGCGTCCAACATGTAATGCAAGAGTCACAAAGACAACTAGCATCCTATACATTATAGTACAACTTACTCACCTCAACTTGAAGATAGACAAAACGCACACTCAAGCTGCCGATACCGGAACTCCCCACATTAATCAATATACAATAAGATCATAATTTAGAAATTAAGGTAATAATTGATGGGTTTCGAGCATTCTAACACTCCTATGGTGTACATGCAACCCGATAAACCTTGGATCAATGTTTTCTCCATTATAAATGCAAATATTCAGTATTCGAAGGTTTCATCCTAACTAGCATAATATGAAGCAATTATACTATAAAAGCCTAGTTAGATAACATACTTTTTATTGAAGCTTGAAGTCTTGAACTTTAAGAGCTTAGCCCCAATAGTGTGGACGCCTCAAGTGAAATCACAAATCACCAAAAACACCTTGGAAATTTGAGAGAATAGTAAGCACACTAGAAATTGGCCCACTCTTGTTTACTCACACACTAGTGCCATTTCATGTGCCAAGGACCCCTTTATATAGTGTGGTGGATTAGGGTTACATTCATGTAAACCCTAATACCCATGACCTTTCATTTCCATAAGATCCATGGGTTAAGGATCCATGGACAATCCATGGACTTTCCATGCAAGCCTAACCCATTCTAAATAAGTATTGGCCCACTCTATATAAATATAAGAGTCCATATTTAATTAGTTACCTTTTGATCACTAAATTAATTTCAAATTAATTCTAGATCAATACTAATTAGATAATATGATCTCATTTTAATATATTACAACTTATAATATATTAATAATCCATAGACATACTATTCTCAAAAGACTATCCATACAAATTGTTTCGGTGAAGTGCAACCCAAATGGATCAAGCTATTCTCGGGTTGAGTACATACCAATAATAGTTATGGGCTTAGACATATAATCCAATAGTCTCCCACTTGGATAAGTCTAAAATTATTATTTAAGCATGTCTCCAAGATCCCGACTAGCAATCATAGCTCTTAAAACCGTTGCCGAACTCTGACCTAGTCAAATGGCGTGTCAATTAGACAATGGATCATATATTCCTCCATTCTAGATATCATATGGACTAAGACATGGATTATAATCATTCTCTTTGTCCATTTGTTGTTTACCGATTTATGACGACTGATTAATTGAACAAATCAAACCAGTCCAGGCTTGGCCAAGCACTTAGGGGTGTCATCACTAAATCATGGCCTACACATTTCGCTTTTATCCCTCCAAGGGTAAAAGGAATGGATAAAATTCGACTCATATGTTTATACTAACCATTTGTTGAATCATACACAAATGCACGTTTTATAACATCAAGTTACTGAAGCGTTTTCATGCAATCAATGTATGATCAACTCATAGTCAACAAATTATATCTTTATGTTTGAAGAATATAAGATATTATCGTCTCATGATCACTCGTGATAAAATCCACGAAGTGATTGAAATGAGTGTGGGTTTAATCCAATACTTAGAACTTATGAGCACTCATGAATGTGGTAGCAACTCTTGCTATGTCCAACACCTTAGACATTTACAAGCCAACATCATGATAGTCTTGATTCATACCTACTTCCAACATATGACCGAGTGTGGAGAATTTGAATAACCCAGTTATTCGGGAAGTCAAAACATGCAAAGTGAAACACAAGAATAATACTAATCCAATATGGCCCCAAGCACCTTTGAGAGTAAATAGAACATCTTTTATTTAAACACCATATTGATTACTCATTATTCATTGTACAATATTTCAAATACTCAACTTTATACTTGAATCAAAATAATAGTCATGCCATGCTCTAAGAATGCACACTATGTTTGTCTAAACAATAGTTATGTCATACACCAAGTTTTCTTTAAAAGTATACACA